AAGTGGGAAGGTGTGCTGCCCGCTGAGAGGCAGGTGGTTTGAATCCACCAGCTTCTCTGTGGGAGAATGATGAGCTGCTCTCTCCTCCCATGTGATTTACAGCCTCAGGAAACCACAGCTAAGATGGCAATGAGTTGAGGTTTTTTTTTTAATCCTATGACATCAAACTCCTCCCTTTGAGATAAGAGATTGGGAGGACAGTCCCTACGTGTTCTCCTCTCAGGACGTCACCCACACCTTTCATGGTGACTCCTCCTGCTGTCCTCACAGTCCCTGCTACCCAGGACGCCATCCCACCGGCCACTCTGCCACCTGCTGGTTTCCATGAATGCTGTCCCCATGGTCGGCTGTTTGTCCTGAGTATTTGTGTGCTTGCAGATTGAGGCAAAAGCAGAGTTGAATCCTATTTTTATTTTGGGGGGGGAGGCAGAATGAGCAAGTTATTTTTTTTCCTGTAAACAAAGTTGTCATTTTAATGCTTTTCACATTCTTGCTGAAAATTTGCTATTTGGTAAAAACGACAGGAACATGCATTTCTCTGAGAGAAATTTTCACACGCATACAGATACTTGGATCCTGTTTTCATGTAAATTTTTGTCAAGAATCCCTGACTAGCAAAAGAACATTCTTATTCTTAAAATACCACATACTGATTATGGAAGTGTTTTATGTTTTGCATGTTCTTAAGTTCCCGACCCCAAACGAGTGTCTGACTCACCTCCTAGCCCCAGGTGGCTTGTTGGTGTCTGCACCACCCCCTCGCAGACCTCCCACGTCCTTTTTATAAATGACCTTTTGACCAGGGACAGAGTACCCTGACTCAGCAAGGTAAACCCTCATTGCCACAGAGTCAGAACAAATGCATACCTGACACTCCTGCATGTTTTCAGGAGGCTGTAAATCACATGAAAGGAAATTGTCCATCTTTCTTTGAGAGCTACTGGTGGATTCAAACCAGAAGCTGCCTTTGGGTTAGCCACATAACTTCCTATGGTCTATGCCTCCAGAACTCCCTTCCCAGTCTGTAGTGAATGGTTAGTTTCACATGTCTTTCAGTAAAGGAACTGGAAGCCCATTGAAAGATGGTGTGGGACTGTGAGAGTCAGGTGTCAGCCTTATCTAGAGGCAGAGTCTCTGACAGGGTGAAAGAATGTGAAATTACTCACTATTCATTAGAAGTTAGGGAGTTCAGGTGACCTAGTGGTAAGATGCTATGCTTCAATCCTAAAGGCATGTGGTTCAAGTCAAGTAGCTGCTGCTCAAAAGAAGAATGGGCAATCTCCTTCCATGCAATTAACTGTCACTGAAAACCTGCCAGAGAGTCAGCTATGGGTTGGTTCTGACTTGAGGGTACACAACAACAGCATTAGTAAGTAAGTAAGCATAATTTACACCCATGCTTACCTTGTTTGTTGGGTAATCCAACTGCAGAAAAATCTGGCTCATTCACCAACCAGGCCTTTATTTTCCTCCCTCTGCCCACCTCTCGGCCAGGCCTCCCCGTCGACATGATCTGAGGAAGAGATGAAGCCACTCTCAGGCTTGGGCTGAGCTAGTCTGTGGTGTCCTATGACTGGAATTTGGCCTCAGCCTCATCCCTGCTGCTGCCCTGATCCCTTTGCCTGTGAGCTTGTCCCTCTCTGGGCAAGAAGGTACCAGATACTGTCCCAACCTCTGGCCCAGGCCTAGACATGTGCTAGATTCTTAATACACAATTGCTGAATTTGTCCTTCCTCTGCCTCCTCCCCCCCCCCTTGTGTAATTTCTAATTGGATCCAACAGGCACAGGAGGAGATTGCCCCTCTTACTCCAGCTGAGTATCTGGTGGATTCAAACTACATGCCTTCAGGATTGCAGTGCAGTTTCTTTGCCACTAGGCCACCAGAACTCCCTTCCCTCTGCCCTTCACCTCACACTAAGAGGCCTCAGATAACTCAGAGATCCCTGCTGATAATAGGAGTAATGGTAGCAGCGAACATCTATAGAGTTTGCTGTGTGCCAGTTACATGAGAACACACACACAAAAAAAAAACCCTGCAATTATGCCAGGCGTGACTCCTCGCCACCATCCATTGGGTTTTCTGAGGCTGTAAATCTTTATGGGAGGAGATTGCCCTTATGTCTCCCACAGAGTGGCTGGTGGATTTGAACTGACCTTTCAATTATCAGTACAACATGTGAAAATGCACTGTACCACCAGGGCTCCTTTTTAAATGCATGCTTAAATTGGAACCTACTCATAGCTGACCCTCCAACGGGTTTTCAAACACAAATCACACAGCAGGAGATTGCCCATCTTTCTCCTATAGAGCATCTGGTGGATTTGAACTACCTGCCTTTGGACTGGAAGTACAGCTCCTTACCAGTAGACCATCAGAGCTCTTTTACATAGTTGGTTTTAATTTTCACATCATCTCATGAGGTCAATATTATCCCTGTTTTAAACAAAGAAACTGAGGCACAGAAAGGTAAAGCACTTTATCCAAGCTCACACCACAACCAAGAGTGGTAGAATTCTCAGAATCCAGTACAAAATGAAATGCAGAGACCATTGTTCAAAAATGTGTGGAAAATTTCAAGATGGCCGTTATGTGGCTATGTGAGTCCATCGCCTGAAGTTTAGACCCAGTCTGACTCCAGAGCCCAATGACTCCGTGCTGTGGAGCAGTGATTATTGTGCTTGTCTGAGCATTGTATGAGAATTTTACAAATCCCTGAAGCACTCCCATGAGGGATAGGCATCATGATCCCCACTTTTAAGGATGAGGAAATTAAGTTTTTAAAGAATGGAGCTACTCAACCATGGTTACGTGGTGGAGCCAAGATTTGAGCCTAGAACCAGTTCTAGCACCTGCAGTCTTACTACTATCTTGCTTTAAGGATCAATGACAGTGTTGTGTGCTGTGGGGTTGGAATCAACGCATAATTGACCTTCCAGTGGATGTTCAGAGGCTATAAATTGCACAGGAAGAGACTGCCTATTTTCTTCCACAGAGCAACTGGTGGATTCGAACTGCCTACCTTTGGGTTGGCAGCATAACTCCTCACTCACCAGACCATCCCTGAGGATCACAAAGGGGAGAACTGAAACGAGGGATTGAACACGACCCAGGTGATCACATAGGAATTTTGTCCACAGAACCTGCTGCTGGTATCTGAGCTGCTACTCTCCTCAAAATCAAAAGGTGTCCCAGGTCTGCAGGTATTTCCTGCGGGGCTTCTGCTTCCGTGGAGATCAGTGCAGGTAAGCACCACTCTCCCCAACCAGGGAGCAGAGGGCAGGATGCTGGAGGAACCATCCCCCCATGGACCATTCACCTCCCCAGAGCCTTTTCTCCTCTAGTCCAAGGCTGGCCTAACCCTGGGCCGGGAAGGGGCTATCCATGTCTCCCTTGCCTCTTCTTCCCTGAACAGATACCAGCATTTTCAGCCTCCCACCCCTCTGGATTGGAGAAGCTATAGTTTGGAGTCAAACCTGGTCTCGTTAGGCCCCCATCTGTGGCCGACCTTCAGGAACTCCGAGCTTACCTACCTGCCCTCTGTGACTGGGGCGGGCCACTCAACCTGGGCCTGGCAGGACACAGAGCCTAGCCTGCACAGTGTGACCGATAAGGCAGAGGAAGCTGGTGGCCCTTCCAAGAATCACCTATCTTCTACATGTGAGTGGCCAGGGACATTGGGGGTGGCACAAGCAGGAAAGCCAGACCTAAATCCCTGCTTTGCCTCTGAGTAGAGTTTCTAATACCCTCCATCCTTCTGCTTCCTCAAGATTTCCAGTTGCATGGAAATTTCCCGGGCCCACTTGTGCTCCATGTTTCAGGAGCAGAATGGTGTGGTGGAATCTATCTAGTTTCAAATCTCTGCTCCACCTCTCACTAGCTGCTTGATCTCGTCCAAGTTACTTCAATCTCTCTGGGCCTCAACTTCCTCATCTGCAAAGCGATGCTAGTACAAGATAGCTGTGAGGATATGACAAGTTATATCTGAAGTGTTTTGCATGATACTCAGCACACAGCACTAAATAAATGTTAATGGCTATGTAGTGTTCTATATCCTAGCTCTCCAGTGGAAATATAACACAAGGCAAGCCAAGCTAGTGGACCTGGAGTTGTGACAAAGTGGAACTGTGCGCCATAGGATTTTCTTTTCAATTTTTTTTTATAATTTTTATTTTTCTACTAGTTTATTTAAAAGAAAATTTGTATTTTAATTTCGTAATATTTTTATAACTTTTTCTTTTGCCTCATTCTAAAAATATAAAGGAAAACAGATTAGCTATGCTAAATTATTTCATTCACACTCAAATACATGAGCATTAATGTGAATTATCTTCAATCACCCAGTTATTTTACTAACTTGGTGAGCAGATAGTTTATACCAGTCATTGTGTGTGTGTGTGGGGGGGGGGGAGGAATCTTTATTTTAAGAAGAAAATTTAGTTAACAAGTTTCACTTAGTAAAATACACCCAAAAGGAAATCACAGTACAAAGAAAGGCTTAAGTCAAGGCCTCACCAGTTCCTACAGTATTATTACTGTGTCTCAATTTTCAAAATTAACTTTTAAAAGCTTAAAACTTAACCTAAGATTTTGAATGAAAACAAACTAGAATGAACAAACAGAAATGTTTCTCTTTGTATCAGGGATCTAGCACCTTTGAAGTTTAAAAAAAAAATTAAAGCATGTCTCAAAGGTTTGCTATAATATGGTTCCAAAGATCCATGCTTACTATACTTTAAAGTGCTTCGACTCAGGCATCACTCTGAAACATATTTCCAAAATGTTTAACTGAGAAAAGCTGAAAGTAGTTTTTAGTTTACTCAATCTCTTTATCACATACTAGAAGTTTGAGAAAACTTTTTTAATCCAGATTTCAAACTCATGGTGCAAAATGGGTCCCACAGCTTCTTCTAAGTAATAAATGCTCTCCATTGTTTGCTGGCTGCCTGTGAAAATTTGAAGTTAACTCAAATGCTTCTAGAAAACTAGTCACATCCATCCATGGTGTTCTGCTGCCTGCTACAGCTGGCCCCAGTAACAGCCACTGACCGACTGGTTCTCAAGGCCAGTGTAAGTGGACTGGTCGACACCTCCACGCCCTTCATCTGTAAACCCCATGCACCATAGAATTTTCATTGGCTTATTTTTAGAAGTATATTGTTTTCTTCAAGCCACCTCTGAATGGACTCAAACCTCCACCCTTTCAGTTACCAGCCAAGAACATTAGCCATTTGCACTACCCAGGGACTCCCAAGTAGTTCTCGTAGAGACTCCTAAATAGTTCTTGTAGAGACTTGCAACTCTAGCTGGATTCTGAACTACCTGGGCTTTGTGCTGCTACAAGCCTTGTGTACACTAGATGCTCAATAGATGCTATGCTAGAATGAATGAATGAGGGAACAAACAGATCCAATTTTCTCTGGCAGCTGCTGACAGGGATCCCGGCTACTGCCCGGAGCCTCAGCCCAAGCCAGACCTTATTGAGGAGTGCGTGGCCTCACTTCAAAGCCTGGACCTTGAGGTGTGGTAATTAGTGTGTGTGTGGGGGGGGTGTCAAGGGAAGGCTGTGTAATCCCCACCTGAGGGCTCTTTTTGAGGGTGGCAGTGGGAAGAGAAACGATCTGACCTCACCTTTAGCTACAGGAAGAGCAGGACAGTCAGGAGGTGGCATGTGGCATCTGCTTGGAAAATGTGTGGGACAAGCCAGAAGCCGAGAGGGTCTTTGGCATCCTGCCCAACTGCCCCCATGCCCACTGCCTGCGCTGTCTTCGTACCTGGCGCATGAATCGGAAGGAACTCCCACTGGACATCATCAAGTCAGTGTGGTGGACGGGTGGGGAGACACGAGCGGGGAGCCTGGCTCTGGGCTCCTGACTCTTCTTCTTGCTCTCACCCTACTGCCCAGGTCCTGCCCCCAGTGCCGCACCTATTCCAGCTACATCATCCCCTACAAATTCTGGGTGAGCAAGGGGCCCGAGAAGGAGCAGCTCATCAAGGACTTCAAGGCTGGCACGAGGTGAGGCCAGCGGAGGAACACTGCTTAGGGGAAGTAAAGAGGCCATGTGTCTCAGGTATCGGTGTTGTTACAGACACACGGGTGGATGGCCTTGGCAGACAGAAATTCATTCTGTTTAGGCAACTCGAAGTCTGGATTCAGGGCGCCAGCTCTAGAGGAAAGTCTTCTCTGTTGGTTCTGAAGAAAGCTCTTTATTTTCTTCAGCATCTATAGTCCTTGGAGGTCTCCACATAGCTTGACCTTTCCTGCTTCACTAACTGATAGAGGTTAGGATTTACAATACCGACGATACACAGGAAGGAGCCCTGGTGGCCTAGTGGCAAGAAGCTGCACTATGTTCCCAAAGGCCTGGGGTTCGAGACCACCAGCTGCTCAGAGAAAATGGTCAATGTCCTCCCGTGCAATTAGTCAGCTTCTGAAAACCCACTAAAGGAGTCAACTGTAGGTCAGTTCTGACTCTATAGTACAACAAGATACATAGGATAATTACAGGACACTGAGGACCACGGCCTCACCAATGTGGCACGTATTGGGGGGCTAGGGTGGGCAATTCAACTTATGACCACATTCCTGATATGTTCTAGCTCAGACATGGTTCCCAGCTTGGGATCCTTCAAACACAGGGAGATTCAGAGTGATTGAGATGGCAGATGAGGGTGTGAATTCTTTTCACTGATGAGGAAACTCAGCACATAAGGGTGAGTGGCTGAGACAGCAGCACAGGAGAGCCCTGCCTCTCTTCTTACTCAGGATCCATACAGGGTAACACAAGGTTCTCTGAAACAAAAACGCAAAAAAAATTGCCATGAAGTCAAGTCAAACTCATGGTAAACCCCATATATGTCAAAACAGAACTGCACCCCTTTGGGTTTTCAGTGGCTAAGTCTGGGGGAATAGATCTCCTTTGTGCTTCTGGGTGGATTTGAACCCCCAGCTGTTCAGTTAGTAGCAGAGCACAAACCAGGGATTCCTGGTTGGCTTTAATCTTCAATTTTTTGTAAAGCATGAAAACAAAATTGTAAATATACAAATTGCTTAGCTGAGCTTTCATGTGAGAAGAGGAATAAAATGTAACGTTGGCGTTGGGGAAAATTAGGTAGATTTTTAAACTCTTGTAATTATTGTTGGGTACTGTCAAAGTGGAGTATAACTCATAGCCTACAAACATATCTGAACCCTGCCTACCCTGTGCCAGCCTCATCTCTGACACATGTGAGCCCATTGCTACAGCACTGTCAGTCCATCTTGAGGGTCTTCCTCTTTTGCTGACCCGCTACCTTTCCAACCCAGATGTTCCTTTCCAAGGAACGGCCACTCGTAGGAACATGTCCAAGTACGAGAGACATTCACCATCTTCACCTCCAAGGAGCACTTTGGCTGCACTTGTTTCAAGATTTATGTTTGCTCCTTGGCAATCCATGGGATATACAGTACTTTTCTCAACACCACGACTCAAAAGCATCCATTCTTCTCCCGTCTTCCTCATTGTCCCACTCTCGGATGCATATCTTGGGATAGGATGTGTTTAATCTAAAGTCTTGAATTAGCTACAATTCGTTTCCTAATTCCACCTTCCCACAAGATTGGTTATGATTTCATCTATGTAGAATGTTAAGTGCTGTGGAGTTGATCTTAACTCATGACAACCTTATAAGGACAGCGTACAACTGCCTGTAGTGTTTCCTGGGCTGTAAACATTAAAGAAGCAGATCTCCATGTCTCTTCTCCAATAGTTAAGCACTCTGCTGCTAACTGAAAGGTTGATGGTTCTAACCCACCAGTGACTCCACAGAGAATGATCTGGCAGTGCTTCTGCAAAGTATACCGCTTTGGGGGGCGGTACCATGATCTCAAAGGTGGTTTCCCCAGGGCGAGGCTTATCCATTGCACTGTGGATGTGTTGACCCCTGCGATTTCCAAATGTGGGAAATTGGACTGCCTAATTTGTGGTAGCGGGGGACTGTGTTCATGCTTTCCCCTAAAGACAAACAAAATACTGCTTTGGAAACCCTATGGAGCAATTCTACTGAATTCGCTGGGGAGAAATTTGGTGGGGAGAAAGAAGGGCAATGTTATGCTTTAAGACCCTGTACTGCCATCTGCTGGAATATAGTTGTAATAAATGTAAAGGTCTATGCTGCCTGGATCTATTTAGATAGGCTTTTGTGCAGTGTGCAAATTACTCATCCTTCATTGCCTCAAATGCTCCTTTCTCCTAGATAACAGGACTAAAAGGCAAGTGTGTTCTTTTCTGCCTCTTTACAGCCAAATCCCGTGCCGGTTCTTCATGCAGAGGAATGGCCGCTGCCCCTTCAAGTCTGACTGTATCTACCTGCACCCTCGCCCAAAAAGGATATCAAGCTCTGGTAATGCCTGGTCCTGCCTGCATAAGGTATGTAGCTGTCGTCTGGGGAATAAGATGGTAGCAGAAGGGCTAGAGGGTGGGGAGCCTGCTAGTCACAACTTTTAACAAAACTCTAAGAACTACATATGTTGTTAATGGGCAGTCCTCCTGTGCAGTTAACTGCCTTTGAAAACCCACCCAGGTGGTCAGCTATGGGTCAGTTCTGACTTGATGGTACACAAGTTTAGATGTGGTATCTTTGTGCTGTGCACAACTTGCCCAATGTGACACATCATCCCTTAATAAGGGAATGCTGTTGTCACGATGTACCATTGAGTCAGAACTGACTCATAGCTGACCCTCCAGTGGGCTTTCAGAGGCAATAAATCACACAGGAGATCACCCTTTCTCCCGTGGAGCAGCTGGTGGATTCAAACCCTGTGCCTTCAGGTTGACAGCACAATTCCTTCTCACTAAGCCACCAGGGCTCTTTAGTAATGGAATAAAGTTTCTTTTTTGTTACCGTTAAGGTTGAAGCTTGTGTTTTACTTGACTCTTTCTCCTCTCAGATGTGGAGTCCAGCGATATCTGGAGGGACCTCTGAGGCAAGAGACAGTCTGATGCTCATGGGCTATGTCTGGCCCATCACCTACTGGCATTCAGAATTTCTCCGGAATCCCTACAATTTTTACAATTATCTCATATAACCAAGACTAGCTCACAGGGGTGAGGGGCCCTTGGGGGGCATGATAGGGTAATAGTGTTTTCATTCTAATTAACTTCTGGAGGAGGAAGTATACTCATTCTCTTTCCATGATCTTGGCTTTTAACTTTGATCTTTTGTACAAAGATTTGGGAAAAAAAAAAACCAATAAAATGCAACTAATCCACCATCACTACTGGTGTCTGCAGAGCAATTTGTTCACTGTCAGACTGGCAACGCTCCCCCCACCCAGGCAAAGGGAGTACGGCTGGTTTTGTTTTCAATCTGTTGTAATATTACATGTCATGAAGTCTGTGGAAAAAATTACCGAATGTGTTTAAGAGAAAGGAAATAATCTTAGTATTATGGGGGAGTGAGGAGTAAATATTGCACAGTTCTGGAGTATTCCTGGAAACCACACTTTGAGAACCATTGCCCCGGAACTCCTTTGCTCTACTTCTCAGTGGCTAGAATGCAGACCTTGGTGGGCAGAAGCCACAGGGACAAGAGTAGTTGAAGATGGGCAGGGCATTGAACTTGAATACGCACTATTTAACATTCTTGGCCCAAACCCTACTAGTCAGTGGACCAACACCCCATCCTACCCCTCTTCTACCCCTCCCCACCCCCCATTCTTGTACTTTGTCCAGCTGGTTATCTTAAAAACAGCCCCTTTAAAATAACTACTAATCTGAGATTGAAGGGGACTGGAAGCACTGTCTATCTTGCTGTTTTGACTTTTCAAAACCAGGCACTGTCTAAGAGATAGTCCTTATATTTTCCTGATATCTCCCATAACTTAAAATCATTTTTGTTATGTGCTGTCAAGTCACGTGTGACTCATAGTGACCCTATGTCCAAGAGCCCCAAACACTGCTCTATCCTGTGCCAACCTCAACGTCTCCAACACTCTCCCACCACCCCAATCACAGAAGCGATCCATCTCATCGAGGGTCTTCCTCTCCTACGCCGTCTCTCCACTCTCACAAACATGATGTCCCTCTCCAAGGACCGATCCCTCCTTGCAACATGACCAAAATATGTCAGATGAAGTTTCAGAATCCCTGACTCCAAGGAGCATTCCAGCTTCACCCTCTCCAGGACAAACCTTTTTATTCTAGCAGTCCACGGTATATTCAACACTCTTCTCCAGCACTATAGTTCGAAGGCATCAATTCTATCATCTCTATTCACTGTCCAACTCTCCAATGCATAGCACGTAATTGCAAAGACTATAACCCAGATCAGGCGCACCTTAGTCTCCAGCCTGATGTTGTTGCTCTTCAGTACTCTGGAGAGGTCCCTGACAGCTGACTTTCCCAGTGCAATTCATCTCTTGATTTTCTGGCTTCTGGTACCAAGAGTGGAGCCAAGCAAACTAAAACTGTTAACTCTCTCAATCTCTTCACCATCCATACTGATGCTGTCAATTGGTCCAGTGGTGAGAATCTTAGTTTTCTTGATGTTGAGCTTCAATCCATTTTGTAGGCTGCAGTCCTTGACCTTCTGCAGCAAGTGCTTCAGGTCCTCAGTTTCTGCAAGCAGGATGTGTCATCTGCATAATGCAGGTTGTTGACCATTTGGGAGGGGAAAAAATTGCCCCAGTGGAAATCAAGTTCAAAATATACAATGGTTTCTTATACTATTCAGAACCAAAGCCAAAATCTTCTGTATGATCTCAATGCTGTAAGTGACTGGCCCTTTTAATTCCCTGACATCATCTTCTATTACTCTACATTAATCTTCCTCTACTCCAAACACATTTCTGCACCAGGGCCTTTGGACTCACTGTTCTGGCTCCCAGGAATGATCTGTCCCAGATACTGCCTTACATACTCCCTTTACTTTCCTAGGATCATCTTTCCTGGCTGTTCTTTTTTAAATTGCCTTGTCCTATTCCTCTTCCCTGCTTTAGTCTTTTTGGGTTTTTTTGTTTTAAAATTTTATTTTGTCAGAGATATAACAAAATATACACCAGTTGCACTGTGTCTCCAAGAATAATTCAGAAATGATTATATTCTTCAAGATGTCCAACCATCCCCATCCTGGTTTTCTGAATTGTTTCTCTCCCTTTAACATAATTTCTCACTGACTCTAAAATGCCTATCTAATCTTTCACTCTATAGAATTTTCATTTAAGTGAAGGTTTACAGATTAGCTTCATTCATGCATGCACACTTTGCTTTAGTTTTTTTTAAAAAAATAATTTTTGTTCAGACTATACCTAGTTGTGCTTTATTGACTATGAAAAAGCATTTGTATGGACCATAACAAATTATAGCTAACATTGAGAAAAATGGAAATCCCAGAACACTTAGTTGTGCTCATGCAAAACTTACACGTAGACCAAGAAGTTGTGTGAACAGAGCAAGAGAAAATGACATGGTTTAAAATAAGAGTGCATGACAAATTTGTATTCTTTTTTTAAAATTTTTTATTATTTCTTTGTGTACTGTCAAATCAGGTCTGATTAGTACAGGAGGAGATTTCCCCTCCTTCTCAAAGAGCATCTGGTGGATTCGAACCTTGTACCTCTGGGATTGCGGTGCAGCTTCTTGCCACTAGGCCACCAGAGCTCCCTAGATTTGTATTCTTTTTCATACATATTTTATCTGTATTCTGAGAAAATTATTTGAGAAGCTGGACTCTGTGAAGAATGGGGCATCAGGATTGGAGGAAGACTAATCAATAACCAACAGTATGGATATGCCACACCTTGCTTGCTGAAAGTGAGAGGACTTGAAACACTAGTTGCAGAAGATTGAAGAGTGCAACCTTCAATATGGATTGCATTTCAACTAAAAAATTCTCACCACTGGACTGATAGGCAACATCATGATTAACTATCAATGACTTCATATTATTTGGATAGATAATCAATACAGTTAGCACCAGCCTTCAGATACATTGCACTGGGGAAGTCTGCAGTCAGGAACCTCTCCAAATTACTGAGAAGCAATGATGTTAGTTTAAGGACTAAGGTGTGCTTGATTCAGACCATGGTCTGTCTGGTTGTTTGGGGTTTCCACACCCCCCCCCCCGCCAGTGTACTGTCAAATCAGATCCAACTGGCACAGGAGGAGATTGCCCCTCCTTCTCCAGTGGAGTATTGGGTGGATTCTAATCATGAGCCTTTGGTATTGCACCATGACTTCTTTTTTTTTTCTTGCCGCTACGCCACCAGATCTCCCTAGACGACGGTCTTTCTAATCACTTGTTATGATGCTGTGAGCTGGACAATGAATACAATTTTACAAAAGTAAAATTGATGCTTTAGAACTGAGATGTTGGAAAAGAGTATTGAAGATCCCATGGACTGCAAAAAGAACAAACAGATATGTCTTGGAGAAAGTACAGCCCGAATGCTCCTTGGAGGCAAGGATGACAAAGCTTTGTCTCACATACTTTGGCATGTTCCTTTGAAAAGTGGGGGGATGGCTAAAGAAAGACCATCAACCAGGTGGATTAACACAGTGACTGCAGCAACAGGCTTGAGTGTGTTAGAATGTGAGGTTGGCACAGGATTGGACAGGGTTCAGATATGTTGTTGATAGCGTTGCTATGACTCGACTCAACGGCACCTAACAACAAAAATACCTAGCAAAAACACACCAATTCATGTTTACACACACAATTCAGTGACAATGATTCCATACTGTGTGCCATGCTTCCATTTTCACTCTCCTTGTCTGAGTTGTTTGTCCCCCATTAATATAAATTTCTCACTGAAGACTATACCTACTATTTTTTTTTTTTAATTTTTGTGTGCGTGTACCGTCAAATCAGATCTGACTGGTACAGGAGGATATTGCGCCTCCTTCTCCGGCAGAGCATCTGGTGGACTCGAACCGTGTTCCTCTGGGATTGCAGTACAGCTTCTTGCCACTAGGCCACCAGAGCTCCCCTATACCTACTGTAATAAAATTCCCATGGTGACCTTCCATCAGGGCTCCAAAACGAAATTTATTTCTTTTTTATTATTATTATTTTATTATTTTGTGTGTGGGTGTGTGTACTGTCAAATTGGATCTGACTGGTACAGGAGGAGACTGTCCCTCCTTTTTCAGGAGAGCATCTGGTGGATTTGAACCGTGCGCCCCTGGGATTGCAGTTCAGCTTCTTGCCACTAGGCCACCAGAGCTCCCCAAAACAAAATTTTTATGAGAGGAAATTGCTCATCTTTCTCTCATAGAGCTTTTTTAGTCATTTTGGCTGATCTTTTGGTTAGTTTGACATGTTACTGTGCCACCAAAATACAATAAATAAAAATTAAATACAATATTTGTTTTTGAAAACTATTCTAAAAGCCACTGCAAAGTAAATTATGTATTTCAGCTTGTGAAAC